ACACGTTTCGGAATCGACTGCAGATAGCGCAGTGGTGCGTATTGAATTTGTGATTGTTGATTGTTATATGATTCACTGACTTGTCTACGCGACAGAATGCAAATGCTTATCTTCTTTTCTACCGTCGTCGCTCTTCATTCCCCTTGGGTGGCCAGAGTTACGTTCTTGCTGAGCAGGCTTTACAAAATCCACCCAAACCCGAAACTCCCGCCTCTACCTCTGACGACGAAACCAATGACGCTCCCGACACAGTGCTCACGGACATACAGCTCCCTACCCCTCCCAATGAGGTTGACACCCTTCCTCCTTATTCAAATGACTCTCCAGCGTCGTCACTTGGAGCCGGTTTCACGATGACCAACTGGCAAAGTAGTCAACCTAGCCATTCTCGCACAGGTATACCTATCGACAATGATGAACTTGACTTTGACCAGTCACTGCAGATTGAACCTTCGCTGCGACTGTTCGACGACAGTTTTGATGCCTCATCGACCTTCACGTTCCCAGAACCATCGTCGTCTCTGGCTAATTCATCCCCAACCTCTTCTGTTGGAGTAGAGCCTGATTTTGATGCTGAAGTGCGCAGCGACGATCTTGACGGAGAAGGGGAAGATGATGACGATGTTGGGCCTTGGTCACGCGAAGCCCGAGCTCGGAGCACAACGTTGGAAACTGAGATGAGAGAAACTTCACCGGCATGGTCTGTTTCTGCGCCTAGTCCAAGTCAAAGAAGTAGCGGGGTTGCCTCACCGGACAATTCAGATGATATGAATCCTTTCACTGATAGTCATGTGTAGACAGACTTTTCGAGCTTTCTTTGTGTTGTCTTGATCGATATTGTTGAGCATAAGTAACGCTTATTAACTACAAACTGCATATTTTCCATATTCAACATTATCTTAAACTACGAAATTGAGGACAGAAGTCAAAAGCAAGAGGACCAAACATGAACCAAACATTGTAGTCTTTCGACTTTAACACTCATCTATTCTTCACTCTGTGTGGGTTTCGCAAATTCCCAGTTTTATCAAATCCAGTAATTGTATCCTTTTACCTGATCTCAGCGTTGAAATGAGTGCTCCTCAAGTACCAGATGCACCATATGCTTTCAATAGTCCAAGTCCTGAACCGTCTGCTGTTCCAACCGTAACTTCACATGCAGGGCCTGGTCGACCTCGAGGTAGCGGTGCCAAACGTGGCCGCAAGCCTCGCGGAGCTATCCTTGCTGGCGTCGCTTCTCCACGCGTTACTACCACCGAGATGACAAGCTCTACGAGTCCAGCGTTTTCATCATCAACATACACTCCACATGTACACTGGAACCTGACTAATACAGCTGGAGCAAGTTCTCCCGGTGCCAGTGGAAGCAGTAGCGTACTTCCAGCTACAGGTATTGCCCAATCCAGACCAGGATCGAGTATCACTTCAGGTATCTCTGCGTATGGTCAAAATCTACAGACATCCTCAACCTCCGCACTCGGGACATCATCTGGCGCGACCACAGGCATTGGAGCTTCACTCAACCTCACGAACCTATTCAGGATGTCGGAAGGAGTAGGCGCAAGTGGAACTGGATCATATCCGCGGGCTACTGGTTTAGGCGGAGACGATGAAGGAGAGGGAGATGACGAGCTACTTCCTGCTATGGCGGACGACGACTACTCTGCACAGCTATCATGGCAGAGTCAATCGAAAGATAACTTAAAGTGTGTCATGATTACGAATCTTGCGAATCGAGTCCTGATTGTGCTATCCTCGCTGCAGAGTTTTAATGGAAAATTTCAGTCCAGATCAATATGACCGTTTCGAGGCGTATAGACGTCACGCTTTACCAAAACAAGCTGTCCGGAAGGCATGTCCTTTTTCTCATCCCTCCATTGCAATACCTTACCTTACCTATTGATCAGGTCATCCAACAAGTGACTGGGCAGCAAGCATCACAACCCGTGGCACAGATTGTCGCAGGTTTTTCCAAAGTGTTTGTTGGAGAGATTGTGGAGAAAGGTGTGAATAATCATTCGAGGATACAATGAGAATTATACAAATTTCTGTGCTCTAGCTCGTCAGGTACAAGCACGTCGAGGTGAGGTGGGTCCCCTCTCCCCTGACCATCTCCGAGAAGCGTACCGGCTGTATCAACAGGAAACTGGTAATGTGGGTGCGGCAAAGCCGGTACGAGCAAAAAAACTATTCGTTAGATAGGCATTTTCATAGCTTTCTGGCCGATATTCAGAAGGGCGCGTGTTTCTATCATAATTGTGGGTTTCTCTAGACATAGACTATGATGTCAATGCGGACACTCAGCTTTTTCTAGACACTCGCTGCTGCTGTTTTTACTTTGTATGTTAAGTGTTGTACGACGTAATTTTACTAGTGTACCACACATTGCTCGTACATCTCATCAACAGCGACGGTCGCTCGAAATGGATGCTGACTCCTATATTCAACTCGGTCTGTGAAGGAGCACCTCTCTTTATTCTCGCTCTTCACGGGAAATTAATCACTCAGCTTGCTGTTCTGTGAGTTGTATCCTCTCGATGTGCTGACATTACGGGGCTCGGGTATCACTCGCATTTTCCCGTTGGGTTTGACTACAGGTCAAAGCTGTTTTTCGCAGGGGAGGACTCAAATTTCTTCCCAACCGATTTTCAACAACCAAAGTCAACATCTAAGTTTCCGAGGGGTTGTCATCATTACAAATAGTCTTCCCCACAGGGTTGATGTACTCCAGCTCAGAAATGGAGGTTGTTTCCTTCTTTAGTGAAGTTGCTACTCTCTCCAGCGCTCGCAGATTTTTAATACCCGTGTCTAAGCACTAGACAAAAATAGGCCTAGGATCGAGTGATCTCGAGCAGCGTAGCCATCAAGTTTTCTTCCAGCCTTTGGGACTGTGAATCATGCGATATCATATGCACATACAGGTAGAACCCCACTACACCCTAGGAGAGAGACAATTGTCCAAAGCAAGTGAATAAGAGGATTCTCAAAATCTTACATCGCGGGTGCCTTCTCCTATAATTCCTTTCAACACTACACGCTCCCGCTGTTTCCTCAAGATCCATCAATCTATGATGTGTACCCGCTTTGTACGCTATCTCTATTCAAAAAATGTCCGAATACTTCAGTGAGTGACAGCAGTTCCAGTTCCGATTGCTGATTTTTCGCTGTTTCCCGGCTTCAGGGTATTTCCGCGACTCTGTCAAGCACGAGACTGCTTAAGAAATAACTACTTGAGATATAGCCCGCTGTCAGACCTCGGTGTGTCCTTTCTTCTTCGGATACCTTTGAAGACTCATGAAGAACCAGTTGAACAGGAGCAAAATCAGTGCGAGCGAGGGGATATCAGTGACTGTCTATTAGTTCAGTAAGTTATCTACACAGGTTTCCTCCTAGATTGTCAGGGGGACTGATCATACTATGATTGCTTTTCTTAATCATGCGGCAATGTCCAACAGCAGTCAAAATATCAAGGGGTATATCAAGAAGCTGATCTGTTACCACCCGTTCATCCCAAGCAAGCTCAGGCTCTCCCGTGCGCGACTCCAACGAACTCGTCTGTTTCAACATGGCCCTTGGAATCAGCGAGGCTCAGCTCTTGGGACTCTTTCTCGCCAGTGTCTTTTGGGGAATGTTTCTGATCACATTCGTCCAATGCATACGCTATCTATTATGGGATTCGAGAGGGGTCCTGAAGCCTGCGGCAACGGTCAACTGGCCTTTGTTTGTCGTCGCAGCGTTGTTAGCATTCCTATCGACTTTTGATGTTGCATTAGGGTTGATGCACAACATCGAAGCTTTCATATTTTACACAGGACCAGGGGGATCTGCCGCTCGGTTCACAGGATTAACAGATTGGGTCAACATTCTCAAGGTAAGTCCCACTGTTCGATCAGTCAATTTCTGTTCTCAATCACAGTATTTTAGACATGTAACGTGGTGTTTGGAAAGCTCATAAGTGACGGTGTCCTTGTACGGTCTTATATCTCTGTGTATCACCCATGCAGGGCACTAATTACACATACCATAGGTTTATCGCTGCTGGGTGGTGTACAACAAGCGATGGCTTGTCGTCGCATTTCCACTCCTTTTGTGGTTAGGTTACCTGGGTCTCGCCATTTTCGTCGTATATATAGAGGCAAGCGCCGATAATCCTCACGTCCTGCTGACAGGCCCAGGCCTGTCGGATCTTACACCTAGTATTACATCTGGATGGACTCTATCACTCGTCAATAACATAATAGCTACTGGTATGTACACTCGTTCTTATCTTCACCGTGAATCCTGTGCTCATCAATGCCATTGTAGGGCTCATTGTCTATCGCATCTGGCGTGTCGACAAAGAAAGCTCAATGTACGCTATGCAGAGCAATTCGTCACGCAGTCGCGCATTCTTCAGTCGTAGAAGTCAAAGGACTAGATTGCAAAACGTCACACGAGTTATTATCGAATCAGGATTTCTCTATACGACCATTGCACTCATCACCTTCATCACTTTCTTGACTGGCAGTAACTCCTTCTATGCCACTTCTGACGCAGTGAGGAACAAACCTTACCTTGATACTGATAAATCACTTATGTTCGTGATACACAGGAGCTACAAATCCTCTCAATAGCATTCAATTTGATCATCATTCGTATCAGCACTCGGCCTGAGGAGAACCACAGCGTGCAGACTAGCAAGCCAAATCATCATCCATCATTCCCTTTGCGTACATTCACTTCCGTGATGGACAGTACTAGCCCAGCCCCAGATGAACTTACATCGAAAAGAACCCTTGAAGTTATGGTTACAAACGAAGAGAGTGTAGATGTAGATTATCCTCCTGCGCGTTCACGGGGCAGAGATTCATATAAATCTGCCATCGACAACAAAAACAGGATGGACGTTGAGGGTAACTTGGATTCATCGGTTTAGTGCTGTTCAGTGAATGAATGTTTTGTGTTTCTATAAAGTACTACAATTTATGTACATAATGAATAAAGCCTTCAAAAAACAAATCTGGGGGTACCGCGGATCGAACGCGGGACCTTCAGAATTCAACTGGATTGGTCTTCAGTCTGCTGCTCTCCCAATTGAGCTATACCCCCGGCAGAAACAAAGTAAAGATTAAGGTTCTCAACGGAGTCTTTAACTTCCATCTCTCGAGGGTCATAAATATCATAAATTACGCCATTGACAGCCTTCAGTGAGGATCAAGAGCTGATTTAGCCCTTTGCGACCAACTGCCTTCCTCGACATCTAGAAAAGACTCATGTGGTAGTTTATTTGCACTTTCCACTGAATACGGCGCGGATTCAAGCTCTGGGTTAGTGTTCTCAACCGTCCTCTTTATTGCAGAGCTGAATTTGCGCAATGGGAATGTCTGTGGTGCCGCAAGTTGAGCACTTGCACTGTAATAGCTCTCTGAACTACTGGGTCGAGTACTGATGCGTATGATGATGAGATTGAATGCAATTGAAAGAATTTGGAGTTCCTGTTGAGTGCGTCGTCGGGTGAGCGGTTGAGCGTAGAAGTTGAGGCAAGCATACTTACCGCATCTGAAGTTGGATAGAAAGAGTTACTTCCCACCACAAAGGTGATGAATGTGATGAAGGCAATGGCGGTGTACATTAATCCTGACTCGATGATAATTCGAATTACATTTTGCAATTTCGTTCTTCGACGCTTCGAACGGCCAAAGAGACCGTGGGTCCCTTGTAAGGATGATTGCTGGGCTTGAATACCGTATAGCGCATTGGTTCTGTCTACGCGCCAGATACGATAAACAATAATTCCTGTAGTGAAGATGCAAGTTAGACTGATACTGATGTGTGGGTTCAAGGAATAGCAAATATACCAGTGGTAATAATATTATTAGCCAACGACATCGTCCAACCAGCAGTGATACTGGGAGTGAGTTTGGACAATCCTCCAGTCAGTAACACTCTAGGATTCCCTGCGCTCGCCTCCAGATAGATGACAAATATCCCTGTACCGAGATATCCCATCCACAAGAGTATTGGAAATATTATAATGACAATGCTACGATTGCAGATCGTCCAGCATCGGTAGATCTATAGATAGAGAGGTTGTATGCGACTTCAACTAAAGATTGAAGCGGTTCAAAGACTGACCAAAATACCATCACTGATCACCTTGCCGAACACAACATTGCACGTCTGAGGAAGGAAAAAAAAAAGTCGAAATCTGAGCAAGGGATAGAAGAAATAGTACGAACCTTCAGAATATTCACCCAGTCCGTCAAACCTGTAAACCTAGTAGCGGAGCCGCCAGGACCGGTGTAGAAGATGAACGCTTCGATGCTATGCATCAGACCCAGTGAAACGTCAAAAGTCGATAAAGCCATCAGGAGGAGGGCGACAGCAAGCATTGGCCAGTTGATTTTCGAGGCATGTTTTAGACCCCCGCCTTCGGCATTGGAATCCCAGAGAAGATACCGCATTGTTTGGACAAAGGTGATGAGTAGCATACCCCAAAACACACTGGCAAGAAACAATCCCAAGATTTGAGCTTCGCTAATTCCTAGAGTGTCTGCCATGATAACAGAACGGGTGGAGAACTGCTATATCTTATCGATGACAGGAATGTTATAAGACGACGCGGTGGAAAAATTGTGTCAGCATCAAAGATTGTTGAGTGAAATTTCATATGTGTTTACATTGTAGCCGTTCATTGCTGATGAATGATCGAATTTCAGGCAGCGTGGGTGTCACCGAAATCTACGATACTACATAGTACGTGTGAATGAGTTGGTCGGCGGTGTTGAGTGGTTAGATTTTTGAAAATAGGAGCCTTGATTTTGTGGATATATCCCAACAATCCCTATATGGATGGCAAAGGCATTTTATGCAGACATCGAGGACGGATTACTCCCGAGAGGAAACATGGGAATTCAACGAACCTGATGAGTATGAGCCGACTTTTGAATTCTTACCATTGTCAAGATGCCAGTGCTTATTCACATTGCATGGGGCGGTAGGAGCTTTGTGGCTGGATACGAAATCGAAGTCTCGGTGAGGACGTTGAAAAGACCGAATTGTGCGCATTCGTCGCGGGTGTAACAGTGACCAATCTTGAACACTATCTAGAAAATTCTTGGCAGTCAGACGCCAGGTACAGATGGTACATGGGTCGAAGACAAGGTTGGGAAGCATGCAAAATGTGAACCGATTGAGGATTCTCGGCTACTCATTGATGTTTACAAGGGACATCTGACTGAACTCCCAAACCTAGATTTTGAACGCGTATTACAGCATCGATTCCGAATATCAAACCATATAAGCGTTTCGCCAGAAAAACGTCGCAGAACAACGTTACGCATCTAGGACAATTGAGATATTTGTCCAGAGTAAGATTCGAAGGATTTAACCGATATCAAACAATGATTGACCTACATCTTGCCTACGAAAGCCTTGAACTTGTTTTGAAGTTCCCGAAGATTCTAAACGGCATGGACTTTCACACATTTCGAGTATCTTGAAGCCCGTGTAACAAGGGGAGAAGCAACAATATTGGTTTTGATATGGTCCCTTGAAACATCAGTCAACTTGTTGGGGCGAGATAGATGGTCGCAAAGAGCCGGTAGAGCCACTAAAGTTAAGGCGATTTGGACCAAGAACTACACTTGTGTGCTCGCAGTTAGCTTTCATCTGCATCGGAGATGGGAGTAGACAAGCTCACACGGGCATTCGTTTTGGTCCGCCCTTTTGTAACATGTGAGCCCGCTGGTAGAAGGGAAGAAACCCGAACAAAACAGATTTGACAAAGGACGGATGGATAGACGATGGTCATGAGTTTTATTCCATTGTGCACCCTAACCTACATACATTTAACAATATCCACTTCGATTGAGTCTGCGACGATTTGAGAGCATCTTCTCATCGTGGATATCATCCCTAGTAGAGTCATCCAGTCCTTTCCAACATTCGATTAACAACTACCGGTCTCCCACTTGACGGATGCGCCATATCGCTCATCCTAGCTTCTCGCATGCTATTCAGCATCGAAGATAAGAACATGGCCGTAACTACCCGTCCTTGACCGAATGGCCAAGGGTTGTTCGGTTGATTGGCGCTGTCGTCTGTTCCGCCTTCTCCTACACTTCCGGGAGTATTACCCAACGGAGTCGAACCTGACCTTTGACCTACTCCTGCCTGCGAAGTATGGGAAGCAGGAGAACCAGAACCTGGCCCGTCTCCGAATAAATCTTCCATCCGTCCCCCTCCGCTCGCACTGTTCGGCGACCCAGTTCCAGAGCCCGATCCTGATCCCGCTCCGGCTGAGAATCGTTTTGTGGGGCTGAGGGAGCCGAGGGAGACTGGAGCTAGTACCGGAGGATAAGGATGTTGGATTTGTTGTTGTGTATGCTGTTGGATGAAAAACGGAGGCATGCCGCTCATCATCTGTGATGATGGCGCAGAAAGATATCCTTGTTTTTTGTAAGTTGCCATTGCATGCGCATGCAATTGTATCACGCCGAGTCGTTGTCGTTCGCGTTGCCATTCGAGATCGGAGGCAGTAGATGCGGAGATATTTCGAGGATTTGGCTGGTTCTGCATAGTCTGGTACACACGGTGCCCTCTTACTGTATTTTTTGGATTGCCAGTGACGCTTCTCTTACCCATGCTGGGACCCATATTGGAATTTCTGGTCTCCTCAGCCGTGGGGTCTTCCTTATACCGATTCCATAAGCTATACATCGATATGATCTCTTGCGCTATGGTGGAAATAGCAGAAAGAGAGACGTTGAGATCTGCAAGGAAACTTATGGGGTCTTGTTGTGTTTGCTTTGATGAAGGATCACTTGAACGCGATGAACGCCTTGGTTGAGGAATTGCCTGAGGAGACTCGCTTGCGATTGGAATATCAGAGTTAAACGCCGAAGAATGAGGTAGTAGGTGCGCGATACTATTCTGAGTCGGCGTGTGGAGGACAAGGGTAAGGTAGATGGCGGTGATCGCAATTAGATGGGGTGGATAGAGGAGGCAAAGCTCAGAACGGTAGGTGTCGTTGATTATGAACCTGAACGTGGAGATTTTAATACTAGGAGTAGGTCAGAGCATATAACCATGTACCATGCAGTTTGTAATGCCACTTCAGATAATTCGAGTTTTCCTTCGCCTGTACCCCAAAACCTTGGTCCGTCCTCAGCGCCGATTCCGGTTCCCAACTCTCCTGCTTCAGCCTCTTGAGTAGGCATATCGGAGTTCCCGCCACCAGGAGACATAGATGAATCCTTTTTACACAAAGCAAGCAACGTTCGATACGGATGAAAGACGACTAGATCACATTCCAAATCGTCTACAAGATAAAATTCCATTTCTGCGAGTTTAGAGTTGTCAGAAGGGAAGTGCTTGACATTATATGGTGCTTCTACAACACATCATGTTGAGAATACTTGAATTAATGCGAATAGCGTGCTGAAAACTTACGACCAAAGACAGAACGAGACTCAGTCACGACATTTTTTATGTGTACTGGGGACTCCTCTGCTTTTGCGGCAACATAACAGCAGGCTGAGATAACAAGGTAAGGGTCTGTTTCGCAATACGAGTTCTTCAGGTAGAACCTCCGGAAGAATACAGTGGCGGTGGCTACAACTCGTTGTCGAAATTGAAGTTTTTTGCCCAACTTTGTGATAACTAGGATCTGATGGGACCGAGAGTCAAACCCAGAAATTAAACCACGCACGATTTGCGAAATAGATAGTCAGAAAATCGAGATATTCTGGCTCAGGAACATACGCCGAATCGTCTGCGCGTGCTTGCTTCAACGTTGCCCGGTCAACGATCCAGCGCGTACTGAGCGTAGAAAGTTAACAAGAAGTCGGTGCCTCGTATAGCACTTCTCACTAATGTGAACTGGCCCAAAAGTCGGTGGCCATTGGCCGATGAGGAGAGAAAAATAAAAGTTGTGACTCTGAGGCGGAGGCGGTCCAGGGATAACTACAGATTACTCATATAGAATTACTGATGTAAGCATAACGCCATGGTGAGATGGCCGAGCGGTCTAAGGCGCCAGACTAAGGAGACCAACGCATTTGATGCGTGCTGAAATCTGGTCACATTGTGGCGTGGGTTCGAATCCC